TTTGAGATAGGGGCATCGATGTCTGATCACTGGGTATGCAGTAGTGTGCTAGCACTGTGGTGTCCCTAGGAGGTTTGAGAAACACAAATCCATGTGGAATCGATTTACCCGATAAGGGGTAGTATAGATGTGATGTGGTTTGTGAATTCTTTTGGAATTGGATTAATGTTGTTGTCTGATACGTGTATCTATATAATACCTACCTAATTCAGTGTATTACTATCATTTTTATTTCATATACAACATATATTCTCACTGAGCGCATGATTTAGCTCACACCCCTATAACTTCTCTTTTCAGCTATAGAGGAAGATGTAGACCTGTCCACTGACCAGTCGATTGAGTCTTGTACAACGTTAGTGTGATATCACTCAGGTTGAGTGTTGGTATGACCAATTGTTGGGTTGTATATTATATTTGTGAGGGATTATAATGGCAGGTTATTAGTATATATTTGTAAACGGACTCAACAAGCATACTTTATGATGTATGTTATGTGGGTGTGGAATTTTGTATATGTCTATAACCTGGGAAAAAATAATTGGTACATTTGTTTTATATATTGTATAGGTTATGAGACATGTTTTACCATTATGCTTAATGACTAAGGTGATGGGTGGGGTTGTTGCACATGTGGGATTATTTAATGTTTGTTTAGTCCAATTTGTACATATATGTGAACAAGTGTATCAAAAACCTAGTCGCATCCCATCCTTGGGAGACCAGGATGGGGTATTACATTCTCACTTAGATCGTCATATCATTGTGACAAAAGGTAATTGTGCTTTATATGGGTTAAAATTGATGTTTGTCTAAGCAAAATTTTTAATAAACCTATTCACCCCCTCTACGTCTAGCATGTGATTCATCATGTATAATCCATTGGAAAGATTGTTGAGTGCTCATTCTTGCATTATTTTATAGCTAGTATATTCATTTTAGACTTAGTAGTAGACTAACTTGTTTTGCGATTAATGCATTGATTTTGTGTTTGCAGGTAGTCTAGGTGTAAAGGTAGATGAGGAGCATTCTAATAATGGATTTGGACAAGTTAGAGTTAAAGTAGATCCAATAGAAGTGAAGTCGGATACCTTAGAGAAGAAATTATGAGTAAGATGGGTTCAATCGGTAGGAGTGTGCTAAAGTAATGAATCTACCAGTAGGAAAGAAGATAGAGTGTGAGGTATTGGTAGTTGAGTTATGTTCTACCGGTAGCAGAGCTCTCTAGAATGTGTTCTATCGATAGGTAACCTAGTGTGTTATCGGTAGAAGAAGTTACGAGGATTTGAAGATCAAGGTTCTACCAGTAGTTGATTAATGTTCAATTGGTATATCGTGTAACTGAATGAGGTTCTACCAGTATATATCAATGTTCTACTGGTAGATCGACAACAAATTTGACTGGAAACTCAAATTTGAGTATGATTTTGCCATATTTTTTTGGGGATTATCTATCAACATGAAGAGAAGATGTTGTAGGAGAAGATATGTACAAAGATATTGAGGATATTCCTTCCATACACCATCAATAGGAGGCTTTGGTTGAGGAATGGGGTATTTTCTCTTCTACTCTTCAACTTTTCTTATATCTTTTTCTCATCAATTATTCTTTAGTTATTCCTTTGTTTTCAGTTTCAAGAATTATTATTTTCAATTCCAAGCCAATTTCATTCGGTGTAATCAATTTTAATACAATTCTTTCAATACAAGATATTTTGCATTCAAGTTCTTATTTACTTTTCAGTCAATCTTCATTCTTTGAATTCAATTATATCTTTATCAATGCTTTGTTTAATTTCTTCGTCATGAGTGAGTAGTTTTTTCTTCGGATAATCAAAAGAGGAAATCACAACCCATGAACTAGGGTTTACATTATAAACTAGTTTGTCACGATGTATGCGATTTAATGATTTAATAATTGCTTTCAAAATCAAATTGATTGGCCATGTCTTTTATTATTTATAGACAATTAGTTTTGGTATGAATAATACTTGGAGTCCCTACAATCAATTGGACTCGCATTTTTCCAACCAATCTATTTGTCATCAAAATCACTAATTTTACTAATTAATGCTTTTGGTTCAATATCATCCAACTAGGGGAGTTTGATTTACGAACTTGGATGAGTTATAGATTTAGAGTGTGGATTTATGTTCATGGGTGGGATGGAATCTGAGGATTATTTGATTCTTTCCCTTAATTGAATTTTCTCTCTGTTTATTTAGTCAGAGTTTGGAATGAGAATGATGACGAGCTTTCTAGGGTTTTCTATTTATTGTGAGAGATGTAGGTGACTTTCTTTACATGTAAAAGGAATGTGTTTTTGTTGGAGTTTTGGGTGGTGGTTGTTGGCGCGATGGTGGTTATTTATTATGTTTAGTTTTCGATTTGAGTTCACTATTTTTGAGTCCACTGAGTTCACAGTGAATTAGGAATTTTATTCTATTAAAATTCATTGTTTTTGAAAATTTTGCAAACTAGGAATTGTATTATATTAAAGTTCACTATTTTTGTAGTTTATTGATTATGTTTTTTTTAATATTTTTGAGTTTTCAATTTGTGATATATGTTTTAATTCAAATTTTTAATATTTTTGTAGTTCACTGGCTATTTTGAATAGTGAATAAGGAGTTTCATTTCTATTAGAATTAACTGTTTGTGAAAATTTTATGAACTAGGAGTTTTATCCTATTAAAGTTCACTGTTTATGTTTTTTTATTATTATTTTTGAGTTCACTAGATATTCACTGTTTTGGGTGGTGGTGACAACAATGGTGGTTGTTCACTATGTTTAGTCCATTATTTTATATATTTTTTTGAGTTTACTATTTTTGATATATATTTTTCAATGTAAATTTTTAATATTTTTGAAGTTCTTCATCTTGAATTCACTATCTTTTAGTTCACTGTCTTAAGTGTGTGTGGCGGTGGTCAGTAGTGATAGACAGTGATGGGTGGTGGTGGGCTACGGTGGTCGATGCTGGTGGTGATGATGGGTGTAGGGTGGCAGTGGTAGGTGGCAGGTAGTAGGGGTGGTGATAGTAGTGGGGGTAGTGGTGGTGTTGGGTGTGAATGGTGGTGATGGGCGGCGACGGCGATGGTGGGTGGTGGTGTTGGGGTTTGGATAATAATGGTTGATGACGATAATGGTAGTGGTTGACAAGTAATAATGACAGCGGGTATTGGTCAGTGATGGTGGTGGTGAGTGGTGACGATGATGTGTGGTTATGACGACGATGGGTTGTGATGTTGGTTGGTGGTGGTGTCAGTGGGGTGGTGATGGTGGTGACGATGGTGGGTGATGGTGGTGGTGAATTTTGGGTGATGATGATTGGTGGCGGGTAATGGTGGTTATGGTAGATGGTGATGGTGGGTGAGGGTGGCGTTGGGTGGTGGTGGGCTCTAGGTGGAGATGATGGTGGGTTTTGGTGGTGGTTTGAAGTGATAGTGGATGGTGGGCAGTGGTGGGTGATTGTTGTTGGCTATGATGGTGGGCAGTGGTGGGTGGTGGTGGCAACGATGGAGCGATGGTGGTGTTGGCGGCGAATGGTGGTGGGTGGTAGTCTGTGGAAGAGGTGGTGGTATGTGGCAGTGATGGTGGTTGTGATGATGATGATGATAATAGTAGTGTTAACAAACATAAGAATGAGATAAATGTAGATGTTTTTAAATAGAGTAATGTTATTGAGACCTAACTTACTGACATAATTTGTTGACTTAATTTACTATGACATTTAAATTCACTGTAGACCTCATCAAACATTAGAACTTGATGTTGATCAAATGATTCTTATGAAACACATCATTATGTCAATAAATTAAGTCAAATTTTTAGATCAAAATAATATTATTCTTTTAAATAACCTTCTTCATTAAGTGTATTTTTGTTAATGATTGATTTTATGGATCCCGTGCTTTCATTAAGGGTATTTTTTTGTCAATCACTAATTTTATGGACTTCCTTAAAAGTGTCCATGGTGGACCATTCGCCTTACAAGTACACAATTTTGTACGTGACACCTGAGGTCCCAAAAGAAATCTTATGGTATCCAAACCCATTATCCAAACACCCCAATAAAGTGTGTTGACAACGAGTTTGAATTTAAAATTGTGAGCATGTATCTTCGAGATACTTGATTTACAAATATAGCAATTGATTTTAATCTTCAAAGCAATTGATTTTAAATTTAGATTGACTTGATTCATGTGATTCACGACATATACCAACGTATATGATATTGTTTTTTATATTTTAAATCAAATTGGCATGAACTAGATCATTATATATCTATATGCAATTCTAGTTAAGGTAGCCTAAATAAGTTAAGATTGAGTGTTAATTGAGAAATATACTAATATAATTCCAATATAGTTAAATTCGTATTGTATCGCATAAAAATCAAATCAAAGTCTAATTAATTGTCAGACATAAAGATCACTACGTAAGTCTTGACCTTGTCACCTTAATATTGAGAAAATATTATGTGTAAGGGTGACACCAACTTATTATCGTCACGTGATATTATCATTTAACAAAAGCATAATAAGTAAGTGTATTCTACAGTTTAAAGAGTACGACCCTAATGTCTAAAAATAACTATCAAATGGGTTTACATTACGGACTTGCAAGTTTATTATTAAATTAGGGATAGCATAGGTTTGAAAATACGGTATAATGTAAATGATTTTGAGAGAAATATTGATAACCGTTAGATAAATCAATTTAAAATCGTCGATAAATTTATTAATGTATGATCTATTTTATATTATAAATGCCATTATTTCCAATATTTACTCCTCAATTACCCCATTTCGCACCAAAAAATTCCCCAATCTATTCAACTGAGCACTACTGGAAGTTACAGACACGCGCCACCGATTGGAGTGCAATTCACATCGTTAAGCAATTCTAATTGCAGATTAACTCCCTAGCACCAACTTTTAAACTCCAACTCTCTCTCTCTCTCTCTCTCTCCAGACTGAAACGCACATTCCCTCACCCCGCCTGTCGCCTCCCACCAGCAGCAGCAGCAAGTCTCCTCCTTCAAGCAGCCCAAAATGGTCTTCCCTCCTCCGCCTCCTCCTCCTCCACCACCACCACCACCACCACCACCACCACTCCTTAAAAAACCCATTACCAGCCCCGACACAGACGACAAAAACAAGTACCCTAACCCCACTGCTGTCACAACCACCGCAACAATTACCGCCACGCCACCACCATAACACCCTCCGCTCAAGACACGTTTCTTTCCAGGTCCACCCACCTCGCGCGCCCAGAAGTCCTCAAACGCCGCATACACAACCTCAAACACCTATCTAAGGTCTACAGAGACCACTACTGGTCTCTTATGGAAGACCTTAGAACCCAATACAGAGATTATATGTGGAAGTACGGTTTAAGCCCTTTCAAAGAAGATAATCATGAGGAGAGAGAATGTGCTAACGAAACTGACAACGGCGTCGTCGAAGGCACTGGTGAGTCCAATGCGAGTGGAAACAATCATTTTTGTGCGTTTTATGGGTGCAAATTGAAGGCCATGGCTTTGACTAGCTTTTGTCATCTCCATATTCTCTCGGATTCTAAGCAGCAGCTCTATAAGCCCTGTGACTATGTCATCAAGAGGTTTCTACACTCACATTCTCTTTATTTTCTCTGCTAATTTGCGGTTTCCTTTTTAAAATCGATAAACTCTTCCGAGGTTCCAATTGATTAATACATGGTTGTATACTCGAGGCTATTAGCTCTCATTTCTCTTCACACATTCTTATTTGGCTTTCTGTTGAGTGGCTTTCTTTTTTGATTAATAACTTGTTTGGGTTTCTGGCAGATTTAGTAGATGTATGCTGTCTACATATATATTTGCATAGGTGCTTGGGTCTGCATATGTGTGTTTTTTTTTATTTTGACATCAAAAGGTTTAATGCCATGTTTTGCCTATTTTTTTAAGCTTTTATAAATGGATATATATCATCATTTTTGTTCATTTTTAAGTTATTTGATTTGTATTTAAATGGGTTTCAATAGATTAATTTGTTCTCATTGTAGTGTTATTGGTGTGGATATGCATGTGTCATGTTAAATAACATCTTTTCCCTTTTTCCCAATAGTTATTTGTGTTGTTGGTTTTGGTTCACATGGAATTCTTTTGACCGGAAAATATTGGCCTCTGATGTGTTGATCACGAAATTCTTACTCTTTCCGGAGTCATGGTCCAATAATGATGCAAATAGGAGCAGCAACAGCACAGTTTTATAGATATTATGGTGCTGAAAATGTCAGAACAACATAAAAATACTGCCTTCCACCATGAAATAACTACTAGAATTTCTATATAAGCAACAAAGGTGAAGTATCTTCCTTAACACTAAGGAAAGTACCTGATTCTGGGACTTTTTTGAACTGAAATGAAGCAGAATCTGCGGCCTTGTGCTAGCCTTGCGGGCGTACAGCAGTGACAAAGTGACTTGTAGGCGCTGTGGGCATAGTTGTCAAATCGCGATTCGTATGGTGAATCGGAATTCTAAATTTGGGGATCATGAATCGTATTGAATCGTGAATCGTAAGGTTCGATATAAAATTTGAACAAAAATAAAAAATAAAATTATATATTTAAAATAAATAAAATATTAAATATTGAACATTATTATATTTTAAAAATAATCAATTGACATAATCACGTAGTTTAAATAGAAAAACGCTATCCTTTTGCTTCATTTTTCATCTTTTGTTTAACCATTTTCAAATTCAACAATTTGAAAAAAAAAAATCATTAAAGAACCATGACTATACAAGAACTAAAATTGTGACACTCCAACATTTTGAAACAAAAAATTAGAATCTAACAAACTTCCTATGAAAGAATTGAGAGCAAAAATCAACCGATGCGAGAGCGTTAGCCGTGACTTTTAGCTTTAGACAACGCAAGACGAATTTTAGGCCACGTAAGAGAGAGAATGAGAAAAGAGGTTGAGTTTTATTAGGGTGTGAGTTCCTCTGCAAACAAAATGTCGTCGTTTTATTGTTTAGTTGACAAAACGACATCGTTTTGCCAAAAAATTGAGTTTAAAAAAAAAGTGATCGAATCGTACTATTCATGAGGTACGAATTATATGATTTAGGTGCGATTCAACTCTAAAATGATTCTCATATAAGATACGAATCGTTTTGTACCTATACCGAATCGAATTGTATGAATCAAATCGCGAATCGTATAATTTTAATAATTATGACTTTGGGTTGAATCTTGAAAACCCTAGCTGGTTTTGGAGATGAAGCTCTCTGTAGGAATTCTCCACTGAAAGACTAAAAAAGGTGCTGGACAAGTGACTGACCACTCCTATTTATATCAACCGTAAAGCTTCTAAAGGAAGCCACTGTAACACTTTGCACATAAACCTCCAAAGAACTAGATTTTTTTAAAACACTCCAATCATGTAACCTTTTGTTGCCAACCACCCCAAAAGACCAGAAAAGCCCTCACTTAGGTACAACAAGACCAATCTAGGATTAGGATCAAAATCCAAAATGACAAAAATTTCCTTAACCCAAGCTACTAAGTAGACACATTATTTTTTTATATACACATGCACATGATTTTTATCATTCTCCACCCATTAGAAAGAACTCGCCTTTATGTGAGATGCCATTTTTGCCTCTTAACACATACACAAAAACTTAGATTCACTTATCCATGAATTCTCAAAATCTGGCTTTCTGACCCATTTGACAAGGAATCGAAAATAGGCATCACCTCTAGTCTTGATTTCCAACATTTCTCTCTAGTGGAAGTCTGGTACGATGTTTCATTTGCAACACCTTCTTTTTCAACCTTCAAATCACCTTGAAAACTATAAATATCCGCCCAATTAAAGGTAGGCGATATTTCCAGACCATGAGGGAGCTCAACTTCAAATGGATTTTCACCAAATTTGCACAAAATCTTACAGGGGCCAATCTTTTTGCTCGTAAGCTTATGATAAGTACCAGTTGAAAATCTTTCTTTTCGAAGGAAAATCATGACTCAATTCCCCCGATGTTGTACTCTTTAAACCTCAGTTGATGATCCGCATCCTCTTTGTAGCATTGGTTCATATCCAACCTCTTTCGAACGTCTTATTGAATCTATTTCAAATTTTCTGCATACGCAATAGCATCATCACTAGCTCGTGGCTGAATTGATGCATCCAGAAGGTCAACAACCTGATTTGGATTCCTTCCATACACTATTTGAAAAGGGCTCTTTCCAGTAGACCTATTCATTGTGTTGTATGAAAATTCAGCTTGCGGCAATATCATATCCTGTTGTCTAATATTGTCCCTTGCAAGGCATCGTAACAGATTTCCCAAGCTTCTATTCACTACTTCTGTTTGGCCATCTGTTTGGGGGATGATATGTACTGCTATAATGCAATTTAGTTGCCATTAATTTCCACAAAGTCTTCCAAAAATAGCTAAAAAACTTTGTATCGCGATCGAATGTAATTATTCTTTGGCACACCATGTAGTCTAACCACTTCCTGAAAGAAAAGACTGGCCACATCAGTTGCATCCAAAGTCTTCTTACCAGCAATAAAATGTGCCATTTTCGATAAACTATCAACAACAACAAAAATTGAATCAAGTTTTCTTGTCGTCTGCTGTAAACCCCACACAAAATCCATTCTAACCTCAACCCATGGAGTTGTGGGAATTGGCAAAGGAGTGTATAAACCAATCTTTTGTTACTGCCCTTTAGAAATTTGACATGTACGACATCTATCAACATGTCGATATACATCCCACCGGATGCTAGGCCAAAAGTACCTTTCTGCCACCAAATACAATTTCTTATCTGTACCAAATACAACGCCTCCATGCAATTCAAAATTCTCTTAAGGAGCCTTCAGGAATGCATAACTTTACACCCTTGGATAAATAACCATCATTAACAACACATTCTGCACATACCTTGTTGTCTTGGGCTGCATGTTTTTCAAGTATTTCTTGGAAATATGGGTCTTCTTTGTAGTGCTCCTTGATCACTTCTAGCCCAACTACGTCAATAGACATAGTCTTGAACAAATAGACTCTTCTAACTTTACACCCTTGAACCAATTTGTTTTGTAAACCAGTTTTGTGTCACACAGAAAACGTGTACTTTTGTAGGAATGCCACCCATTTTTTTATTTCTAATACTTAGCTTCTTTTGCAAGCTGAGATAATGCAAAAGCTTCATGATCTGAATGCAAAATGAACTCCCTGAGGATCAAGTAATGTCTCCAAAACTTCAAGGTCTGCATGATAGCATAAAACTCAAGGTCATAAGCTGAGTAATTTTGTCGATCTCCATTGAGTTTTTCGCTAAAATATGCAACTGGACGCCCTTCTTGACTTCAAACAGTCCCAATTCCAATCTTTGATGCATCACAATCCACTTCAAAGAGTTTATCAAATTTGGTAGGGCAAGTACCGAAACTTTTTGACCAAAAAAAATGTACCGGAACTTTTGTCATCATCTTCTGTATCACTTGAAAACTCTTTTTAGCTGCAGAATTGCAATTGAACCTTCCACCCTAGATACATTCAGTAATCAGAGCCATTATAGTGCTGAAGTTCTTGATGAATCTTCTGTAAAAGGTAGGCAAACCATGACAACTTTTTACCTATTAAGGTCTTTGGTGTTGGCCAGCTAGTAATGACTGAACCTTGGTGAAATCAACTTCTATACCCTTTGCTGAGACAATGAAGCCCAAGAACTCTAAATGTCCACCATAAATATGCACTTTTTAGCATTCACATACAACTGATTTTGTCTCAAAAGTTACAAAACAGCCTTTAGATGTTCAACATGCGTCTCCTTATCTTTATACACACCAAAATATCATAAAAAAATACACAACAATAAACTTTTCAATGATTGATTTTAGCACCTGATTCATAAATCTCATGAATGTACTAGGTGCATTAGATTACCCAAATGGGTATGACCAACAATTCCATACAATTCCTCCTTGGTCTTGAATGTCTTTTTCACTCGTCGCCTTTTCGGATTCTTATTCGGTGATAGCCACTCTTCAAATCAATCTTGGAATAGACTCGCACGCCTGAGAGCATATCCAAACATATCATCCAACCTTGGTATTGGAAACTGAAACTCTATGGTTATCTTGTTAATAACCCTATTGTCCACACACATCCTCCATGTTTCATCCTTCTTCGAAGTGAGCGAAGTTGGTATGACGCATGGACTTAAAGATCTTGGATAACCTTCCTCTTGAGTAGTTCTAGAATCTACCTCTTAAGCTCTTCATGTTCTTTTGGACTCGTCTGGTA